TTAACCCGTCACCTTTAGCTTCGAGCTTATGATCATCTGTGCTCCACCTAAATAGGACACTAAGCCCCCCGCCGACAGGGGTCTGAGATCAAGCCATGCCGAGCTCTTGGCCTGTCTGTGCTTCTCATCAGGATTTCAGGAGCTCTTACTGTTTTTACCCTATCATTCCCCACATTGCGCTCTGTGGGTCCCTGAAGCTCTGAAAGACAGTAACTGGAGTTCTGCAAAAAAAGAAGGCTCCAAAGTGGAAGGAAAGTGGGAGAGGGGAAAAGAGTGCGTGTGTGTGTGTGTGTGGGGGGGGAGATAAGACATTTGCAGGATACAGATATTTTATTGATGATGACATGTATAGTATTCTCAACTGGGCTGGTCTGAGGTGTATGTCATGCTGGGTAAAGTCTCTTCACAATCTAAATGATGTATAGCGATTGAATGTATAAAAAATAATAAAGACAAAATTAATTGCAAAAAAAAAAAAAAAGAGGGCTCCATAGTCAAATAAGCTTGGAAATGTCCCATCCTAATCTCCCATTGGGATTACAAGGTGTATAATATGAATTTGAATGATTTTTGCTTTCGGAAATGTTCAGCTTTGTTATACTCAGTCAGTGTTGCCTGGCCTAACTTGACCATCGAACCTTTATTCCCAGAATACCACTGACATCTCAGAGGACATTCTGCCCAGGAGAAAACTGTTCCACAAATTCTTTTTTCACCCAAATGAATAGCAGCAAAAATGGCTTTGTGGGAGTGAGGGAGGAGGGAGATAGGGTATCTCTCTCTGCCACTCGTACTGGAGGTCCAGAATAGAGGCAGAACACAGTTTTTTGGAAAAAGCACCAGACTTAGGTGAGAAGACTTGACCTAGCTTTGTTACAAAGATAACTGCATGCTGTGGGGCAAATCACATTACCTCTGAGTCTCAATCTAAGCTCTCGGGAAGGAGAAACATTTTAGGATAACCAACTAGATGTCATTCTTTGAAACTGCTGGCCATTGAGGAGATTTCTGTGTAGCAGATTTAACTCTGATTTTTAAATTTTTAGAGAGAGAGATTTTTGCTATAGGGCCTGTGCACTTGCTGGAGAGACAGAAAGGGACAGAGAGACAGAAAGTGAGAAATCAGCCCCCAGGAGGGATGGCCATGCTGCAATCTCCTCGCCTCCATTCTCCTCTCAGGACTCTGGGCAAGCATGCACATGCACCCAGTGTGAGTTTCAAACCTCCAGGTCCAGGACTAGAACTGCAGTCGGCCATGTGGGAATCCAACAACATAACCACTACACCATCTGCTGGTCTCTACTTTGATTTAAAATGTGTTCTGGATAATTTGGAGGCCTGTTTTTAAATATCCTCTTTCAGAAGACCGGTGCCTTCAGATCTGTCAGTAGAAGTGTCTGATTCCTGAGACATGAAGCCACAGGTATTCAAAGTCTAAAGCAGTGTTGTTTTAAAGTTTATTTAGCTATTTCCTCCATGAGAGAAAAAGACAGACAAGGATACAGAGAGAGAGGAAACTTCAATAGGATCTCATGCTTTGATCTATCCCCAGTGGTCCCAGCCAGGCAGGATTTCAGGGACAGGCACACATACTTGGCACATGCAGGTTGACCCAAGAACCAAACCCCAATCCTTTACACAGATCCAGCATCAAGAAGCAAGATGCTCCTATTGCACCCCATGGCTGGCCCCATAGCAGTATTTTCAAGTGAAATTAGAAACAAATTGATTGGGATTATATTTATGTTTGCCTAAGTATTCCCTATGTATCTCAAAGAATAATGCTTAGAGATGTCATAAGACATCTTACATAGGAGGAAGAAATGGGTCTATTTTATTATAAATAAGCCACAAATGACATTTGATACTTCTTACCGGAAACTAGATTAATTGGCTAATTTTTCTAAGTGCTCAACTTCCAAAGATGGCGGTTACTGACTTAGAGTTGTAACTACAAAATTCATTTGTAGCTTAGTACCGATTTATATTCCAAAGTGACAGAGGAGAGGTAGGTAATAATCATTTCTGGGGAGGACTCCTGTGGTCCTTGCCTTACAGGAAGACTCTATTCTACTTTCTTAACTCAAGAGGGAAAGATTAGTTCCCACTCCTGTTCTCTGAAGGGAAGACATTCTATAGTAACTCAATGCATATGTGCAAATAATGTTCTAGAGAAAATTAGGTCCTACTTGATGTTTTTCTTGCTATTAAAACCTGTTTGCTGGGACCAGCAGGTGTTGTAATGGTTTGGTCTCTGGACTCCCACATAGTTGATTGTGGTTTGAGTCCCGGACCTGGCAGCTTAAAACTCATCCTGGGCGTGGATGGGTGCATGCCCAAAATCCCAAAGGAGAATGGAGAAGAAGAGATTGCATGGCTATCCCCTGTAGGGGGTGATTCCTCACTTTCAGTCTGTCTCTTCAGCAAGTATACACACCCTATAGCAAAAATCTCTAAAAACAAAAGAAAATAAAAAAGAAAAAAAAAAAGGTTTGCTGAAATTACAACGGAAGTTAAAAACATTCATGGGGCCCGTAGGTGGCATGATGATTAGGGGTGCTGGACTCCCACATGGCTGACCACGGTTCAAATCCTAGACCTGGTGGCTAGCTCTCTCACTTTTCCGCTCTCTCTCACTCTGTCCCTCTCTGGTCAAATTAAAACAAATAAATAAATAAAGTTAAATGAGATCATTATTTTTAAAAATTCACAAATTGGATATGAAAGGTGTCTGTACATTGAAATAACATAAATGTTAGTCTCCATCTGCTTGGAGTTTGATGTAAGCAAAGGTGACAAGAAGTAATTTGGCTTGAAAGAAGGCAAGGTTTTGCTTCCACTAAAGGCTATATAACTGTTACTTTCGTCACCTCTGAGTGAGTGATGATTTGACCATTGTAATACATTCAATGTGATATTTGCTAAGCAAGCACGCCTGCCATCTGGTTACTGACACTGTTGTTTTGATACTTCGCATATACACATGGCCCAGGAGCACTGAGATGTGGGGAGGCGATATGAGCCTGTGGATCCATTCCAAAGCAGTTAGACAGTTTAAGCCATTCATTTGTTTTCAACACAGTGTTCCCCACATAACAGAACAATGAGGCTACCTTATCTGTCTCTTTCCTGTTCTGGTATCTTTAAAAATGTCCATCATGGCAGGGTGCAAACAGGCTTACAATATGAAGCCAACCTCGGGCACCACGAAGAAGAGCAACCAGTCGGTGGGCCACTTATACCACGTCCTACTTAAGTTCTTTTTTTAAAATTATATTTATTTATCTTTAATTACTATGATTTCAATTTGACTAGAGAGAGAGAGAGACACATACAGAGAGAGAGAGGGAAAGTGAGAAAGCAAGCCACCGGGTCTGGGACTCAAATCATGGTCAGTCATGTGGGAGTCCAGTGCCTTAACTACGACGCCACCCGCCAGCTCCACTTTTTTTTTTTTTTAAGAGATTTTTGCTATAGGGTGTGTGCCAGAGAGATAGAGTGAGACAGAGAGACCGAAATTGAGAAATCACCCCCCGGGGGATAGCCACAGGGCAATCTCTTCTCCATTCTCCTCTTGGTACCTTGGGCATGCATGCATATGTGCCTGGTATGAGGTTTAAGCCACTGGTCTGGGACACAAACCGTGGTCGACTACGTGGGATTCCAGCAACATAGCCCTTCTTCCATCTGCTGATAGAAGTAGTAGCCCTGAGTACAGTGCCCGACACATAGCAGGGACTCGATGAGTGTTCAGTAATAAGCCCTCTGGGAAGTCTGTGAGTAGTTACACAAATGATTGCTATGTAGAAGCATGCTTATCTTTTGCTCTGTAGTGAAGGTAATACATGCGCTAAATGTATACCTATACCCTAAGTCCAGGCTTTGTCTACCTTAAGAGTATTGACAATCTGGGTGAGATCATTCTTTTCTGGGCATGGGTGTTGGGAAATGTTGTCTTGTGCATTGTTCAATGTTTACCGGCATCCCTGGCCTCCAGCCACTTGATACCAGTGGTGTCCCTGTCCCTAGAAAAGATGTCCCCAGACATGGCCAAATGTCCCAGCGCTCCTGAGAACCATGTATCTAATCTGTACATTCATGACATGTACCAGAATTAGAAAAAGGATACGCTCTCTTCTTTTTTAGAACAATATTTCTTGACCTACTTTCTAGTGGTATTATATGTTCATAATCTGCTTCCACCCAGTTATTTCTGTTTTCATATACTTGGGAGAGGGGGACCTTTCTATGTAGCACCACCTAAGTTAAAAAGACCTGCTTTCTCCTTAGGAGAAGAAAAATATTAAACAAAGAGGAGCCATTCCATACAGAAATTGGGCCAGCGGCGAAGGAGACTGCTTCCAGAAGAGCGAGAGATAGTCTCGGACTTAAAATAGATCCAAATCCCTAAACTGAAACTGGTGTGTCTGTAATCCCAAAAGGAACTTTGGTGTCTTAACAGAAACTACCTTCATTTGTTTTTCTTAGGAACTTTTGCAGTCTTAACAGTTAAATTCCACTGTCATACAAAAGTATCCTCCTGATCACCAGTTGCTTTGCTTTTTTTTTTTTCCTCCCTTGGCTTTGTTTTTTATTTATTTCCTATTTATGTTAACAGTTTCAGGAAGGTAACAGTGTGGGCTCCAGGAACAGGCTGTCCCCTTCAGCAGCACAATAAGTAGGCCTGTTAACTGAAGAAATCAGTAGCCTTTTAAACCTCTAACATAGAGTGATGATGATGTATGTACACTTCTTAAAATTAAGTACATATATATATTTAGAATCTTGGAATTCTGATTTAAACCCGGCCAGTGGGTGATCTGCTTGAAAATGATTCCACATCCATATCTAAGGGTGAGGAATAATTTATGACAAATAAAGCTCATGAAAAAATTCTAATTTCATTCATGTTGCTACAAGTATAGCTTCATGCTTGAAAAAAAATGTGGGCTGGTAACATTTTTCTACCTCCCAGTGTAGAGTTAAACGGATGCCCTTACCTCTCCTCCGGTGCACGGGAAAGGACTGGAGTACCGAGAGGTGCAAAGAGCTCCCTTCTTGACAACATCATCTTCCAGGCCAAATGTGGCGGAGCAGTTTGTCGCAAAGTATTTGTAAGGCTTCCATGTTTTCCCAAAGTCCTGGGACCGCTCCAGCACCATGGCTGCAGGCCTAGGGGACTTGAACACCATAATTAGGTGAGTGAAGTAGAATTCGGCTTCCAGGTCTAACTGGATTTTTTCTCTGTGCACATCCTCTGCAGACTGCCACCACGTGCGAGGAAACCTGAAGGACGAGTCTGCCATGGCAGAGGGCAGGTGAGCCAGGTGAGGATGGGCAGCATTGCATTTGTCACACCGCGGCTGCCGACAAGTCAGATCAGTGTTTTCGCTGTAGGAGCAGTACAGCTCCGTGGCGTTCTGACCACAGGTAGTGTCTGCCCAGAGCTTTCTCCCTAAAGCCAAATTTCCCATGCGAGGGTTGCAGGCTTTTTCACAGCGGGAACTCACTCCAGCGACTCCACTCAGCCCTAAGGAAGAGAAAGTATACCTTATTCAAGACAAATCCATCTGGGAAGCCTTTCTGTCTACCTAGTCCACCTACTAATCAACCTCAAAAAGCTTGAGACTTTCAATAAAAGGGACATTCAGGACCAGCTGTTAGTGTAATGGACTCCCATGTAGTTGACCGCGGTTGAGTCCCGGACCCGGTGGCTTAAACTCACACCAGGCACATGTGCGTGTGTGCCCAAGATCCCGAGAGGAGATTAGAGGAGAAGGGATTGCAGCGTGGCCATCCCCTCTGGGGGGTGATTTCTCACTTTCTGTCTCTCTGTCTCTCTCCGTCTTTCTGGTGAGTGCTCGCGCCCTATAGCAAAAACCTCTCCAATAAATAAATAAGTAAATAAATAAATAAACAAAGGGACATTCTACCACATTTGAACGTGAACACTTTTCTGTATTTACAATGCATTTGTGCAAGCATGAGTGTGTGTGTGTATGTACGCACGCACATTATGTGCAGTTTTTATGTTCGTAAGTAAAATGCACCAAAAAGAGAAAGAAATCTTTGGGTAAAGGTCAAGAGGAGGGAAAATAGAAACAATGGATGGACACTATTGGCCCCAAACTTTTCAGAAGTACTTTGCCGTATAAACATTCTCTATATTTGAACAATTAATTTGTTCTTGAAATTATGACTTAAATAATACCAAAAACCCACCATGTTTTTAGGATCATCTAATGTAGTCTTTCAAATATATTTTGAGCACCTAGCATTGCCTATGTTGTTTCCTAGGAGAACGCATTTAGGAGGAAATGCAAAATTCTATATTTTTATGTCTTTAAGCCAATGAAGAAACAGTCCCTAGAAAAGTAGTATGAGATAATGGGATCTCCTCTGGGGAGAGGCAAAGCTAGAAATCAATGGAACTTAAATGTGCCTTTTCCAGGGACCAGCAGATGGCATAATGGCTACATCACTGAATTCCCATATAGTCGACCGCAGTTCAAGTCCTGGACCCGGTGGCTTAAACTCATGCCAGGCGCATGTGCATGAGTGCCCAAGATCCCAAGGGGAGAATGGAGATAAAGGGACTGCGGTGTGGCCATTCCCCTGTGGGATGATCTCTCGCTTTTTGTCTTTCTGGCGAGTGCACAAGCCCTATAGCAAAAACCTCTCAAAAATATATATATATATGTGGAATATCCATTTATAATGTTAAGTAATTCTAACTACAGAAAAAGAAAATACCTCTAAACTGGCAATGACAGAAATGCCTATTTTGCACATTCTGCTTCTTGAGTGCTGCTTCCTATGACAGATTATATAGTAGTTACCTGTCTGCTTAACAGGGGAATGCTGACAGTCTGGCAACCACTAACAGCACCTTTAAACATTGTCTGTGAACTCAAACACCTTTTTGAAGAAACACACTCTTCCTCCCAGACAAAGGTCCGAATGACTTTAATGCTTCGAAATGATGTAAAATGATAAACATTATCCACATAGGAGCGTCCTGACTACATCCCATAATCCTTTAATTTGGGTTATCGTTTTAGTTATGAATACCTTAAGCAAAATCATCTATTTTAAAAGTGAAAACACAGAGGAAAAGAAGGAAAAGGGAATCAGACCCCAAATTCGGCTAATTGAATGTTTCTGCCTCTTAAGAGGGAGCCCCTCTGAGCTGTTATCACATAGTGTCAGAGGGAGCAAAATGACAACTTAGGCTGAAGCAGCGGCGTCTCCCACACTGACAATCACCAGCCCCGCACAACCTTGTAGGCAAAATAAAAGGTTTCCTTGGGCCTTATTTTTAAATGTCAAGTTAAAGTGTGCACTGTGTCTAGACTCTGTTTGCTACCGTTCTGATGAGCTGGGGCAGCAGTCGCTTGTGTCCAGAATCACAGTGTGCTATGACTCACCTGCAAAGCATTTCAGGAACAATCACATACTGCCTGTACAAGTATTTTCAACGTGAAACACTTGCCTTGTGATATTTATTTACAACCTCTTGATGGTTTGCCTGTTTTCACCACAACATGGTTGGAAAAGACAAGTTAACTTTTTGGCTGGGGGCGCATGCAAAAGTGCACCCAAGTGCATACACAGCAAGAATTAAAACAAAATATTAGAGCTTAATGACTCCTTACAAAAAGTACTGAATAACTGTAAATGCCCCTAAGCTAAGAAGTCCAGAGATGATTTGAGCTGGATAAATAATCAGTGGGCAAACTATTGGGAGATCTCTAAAAAAGTGACTGTCTTATACACACCAAGGATGCACCTACGACTCTGACTGGTTTGGGATGCAGACTCTAAAGCGTGGGTTTTACTGAGTGCTAGGGTTTCTGGGGGTGACAACGGAAAAAGTCCAAGGGAAGAGAGGCTTGTGACAGTGCTCTCGGTCCACCAGGCAGTCCCTCTGGCTCACACCCCCCTTTCTGGAGTAAGTGGGGTTTGTAGGAGAGATTGGATGTCTGCAGAGCTTCTCACTGTCTCCCCCCTCACCCACAGAGCTAAGTGGAAACCAGGTGACTTGCCAGAGGGAGGGAGAGGAATACAAGGGGCACCCGAATTTAGAAACAGCGAGCTAGGGACGGTGGCCTAGGGTAGCCCGAGGAAGGCAGGAGGAGAGGAGAGGGAGTGGGCATCTGAGACGCCTCCGCAGGCTGTCCAGTTGCGGAGACCGAGAGCAGACCCGCCTCCGACCTCCTGCCGAGCCTCGGCCAGGGTACCAATTCCCCAGGGCGGTCAGCCAGCTGGGTGCAAACCCAGGGTGATCGTCACGTACCACCCCAGCCCAGCCCCACTGCGCTCCAGCCTCCAGCCGGGGAGAGGGCGCTCACCCCCACCCCAGGTATCCCTACCTGTCTTCCTAGTACCCAGCATGAGGTTGGGGACGCTGGCGATCTCTTTCTAAACCAGAGACCCGCCCCGGCCCACGCGCGCCCGGGGTCGCTGGGCCACCCCTCCTCATCATTCCTCAGGCCATGAAGTGCCGGGGGATGGCGAGCTGGATCCTTTGTTCCCTCACAAAGTGCAAAGGCAGTTTTTTTACAAGCCAAACCGAGAAAGAAACCCTGATGGCGGTATCTCCTGCAGGGCGCACCCAGGATCTCGGGTTATCCAAGGGCAAGTGTATCTCCATTGCAAAAAACAATCAACAGTATTTGCAACTGCGGAGCCCCGGGGAAAGGAGGCGGAACATGGCCACTCATTTCATTCTCCGGAGCCGAGCCCTGCGCTCCCCGCACCCTGGAGTCGCGAGAGGGGGAACAGAAGGCGCGAGGAAAGGGGGTGGGGGCCCGGCCGCGTCACCACCCACCTGCGGCCACAGTGGAGCAGCCCCAGAG